AGTTTTCCATAAATTTTTTAGTAAGATTTCTGATGGTTATATCCCTATGGAAGGGGCTGAAGTCAGCCAGCTTTATGTCACAAGGTTACAGCTGGAGCTCATCAAGCAAAGGAAGGGACTTTAATGAAGTACGGAATTACCCTTCACAGATAGGCAAAAGTACAAACGGTTTGCCGTTTGGTTTCTGTATACAGCTGCAACACATTGTATCCCTCGGCCTCTTTTATCAAATTAATAAAGCTAAATTATTTATTTAGTCATTCACCTATTATTTATTTATGTTTTGATTATTAATCATTGTTTTTTTAAATCATACGTAATTATGCTTTAGTTCTGTTTTAGTCACCCACATTTAAAAGAAACAATGGTAATGATGATGTAACATTATTTTTTTATTTTCCAATTCTAACAAGATATCATCACCTATAATTTTTTAATAGTAGGTGACTAAAATAAAATTAGGGATAAACCGAGGGAGCGGGACTTATAAGGGAAGTTGTCCCTTTGAAAATTTAAAAATTACTATAAACTTTTTCTATGTATTTTCTATAGAAAATTGTTTTTACCCCCTTGAATTTTATAAGTTCAAGTCGCCTCTCTTGAAATTTTAAAAATTTAAGTCGCCTCTCCTAACATAAAATCCTGCGCCAGTGTAACACCCCAATTTAGGGCTAATTTTAGAATTATAAAGTGGTGAATTTAATTGGTATTTTTGGAAGAAATTAGAGATTAAATTGTAAAATCGTAAAGTTGGCATATATTTTAAAGAGTGCAGAAGTTTAGTGACTAAACTCATGGTTATCTATTTTTATTTTCAGAGAATTATAAACCACCATTTCCCTATATGTTATGCAAATTATTTCCCAGTTTCCCTCCCCCTTCAACCCTTCTTTCAACTTCTATTTACTCGTCGTTCGACTTCGATCGACGAACCGAAACCACCATCGTGTTCGTTGTTGACCGATGAACAAAACCCTCAAACCTTTCGTCGTGAATCGTCTTCGTTCGTTGTTAATTTCAGTCGGAAGTATCGTCGGTATTAACTCGATTCAGTTGGTTTTTCGTCGATTCACGAAGATTCGACCATCTGTTTTCGATACCTCCCGTACCATCGTGTTCCTTGCATCATTTCGAGTCCGCGGTGTCCTCCGTTTTTCCGTCGTTGCCGGCGCGTGGAGGGGTGAGAAAGTCAAAGTTTTCGATGTTTCGGAATCGAGCTCTCCGCCGTTCAAAATTGTGAACTGAGCTCAGTAAGTGTCTCAAAATGCCTTAAAATAATTTTTAAGAATTTTTTCTGGAATTTTCTGACATCGTATCACTGTTCACGCGTCGCCACTGCGCGTTGGGGGGTTAATTTCGTAATTATTACTGTTAGGGTGATATTTGTGTAAAATTCGGGTGTTAGTTTTGTAAATATTTGTATAAGGTGGATAATTTGTAATTAATTTCGGTTAGGTTGATATTTATGTAAAACGGTCGACTGTTGACTGTTGACCGTTGACCACTGTTGACCAGAACTTTGACCAGCGTTGACCAGGGCGTTAAACAACCTTGACTTTGACCCGGTATACATATTCTGATGTTTTTTGATGTCCTGAATATGTTTATGGGGTCCGTTTTGCCAAATTCAAACCCGATAAGTTGGTTTTCATGATTTATCATCCGATTCGATTTGTTTTTTGGAATTAAGTTCCGTTTTATGACATTTATTGTTATGTATTTGAGGAATTATGAGAAGTTGAATTAAGGATCGAGGGCATTCAATGAACTTTTTATGGTCGATCAATATGGCACGAAAATCGAGGTAATACATTACTACCTTTTCATGCTTTATGAAATATGTTGGTATCGGTAAATGCATGAATGGAAATGTTTGGTCTCATATGTGTAATTAATGAAGTCTACACTCGATTCGAATACAATAAAAATTCGATAACTGAATATGATCAGATGACTATATAAGAAATTGAAGAACAGTTTGAATTCAATTCAAGTTATGAGATTAAGTGATATATGAATCAGCACTGGATATGCAATTTATAATCTACCTCATTTGATAAGGTATGAAAATACTTCGATTAGGTAAAATTACGAAATTACCCGTATGTTGGAGAATAACAAGAATTGTCCCTGGAAGTGGATTAATAAATCTGAAAAGACATATGATCTGATAAACTACTGATGTGCATAAGAAATGTTAGATTTACTTGCAAAATTTGGATAACTGGTTTTTAACCGAAGAGGGTTTGTGCAAAATACTAGAAGTCTGTTAAGGATCATTTCAAGATCAGAGAATGTTCGAGAAAGAAATTAAACATAGGATCTCTAAATTATATTATTTGGTTAAGAGTTAATACCAAAATTATCTGGTTAAAAAATTACAAAAATTGAGAGGTAAAATAGTCTGTGTTGACCCTAAATAAGAAATACTTTGAGGATCATACTTAACTCGATTAAGTATGGATTTGATTGTTAAGACCCTGACTTAGTGCAGAAAATTCCTGATATTCCGTTTGTAAAATCTGAGAAGACACTTGACCCGAAAATATCGAGTTTTGAGTAAATATATGAAGAACAATTTATCGGAGGTGTTCTTTTGACATAATTGTTTGAATGTACTGAAAATAAATGATAAGTTTGAATTAATAAAAAGATCGGACGGAAGGAAAATATTGAAATACACTGGAACTATAAAATGACCAGAACCCCTGTAATGGAAATGACCCAAGAATGTCACCAAGCTCAGGACTGATGGGATATCTCGAGCTCTATAACGATTGGATAAAACTAAACACCAAAATGACCAAAATACCCTTATGGCCTAGACTAAGTAGATGTTTTGGATTAATTGAGGAATCCAAGTAAATATGGGTATTGTACTACCCTTAAAAGTTTTAAATTTTCTGCTATTTTTACAGTGGGTCGCTCTGGTGGCCCTAATATTACACTCCAGATCAAATCGGGTTAACGCATCGGTCTGAGGTGGTTATAGCCAGCCCTGAATTAAATTAAAATATAACATTAACTATGATTTTCTAGATAATAGTTAGGTGATCATAACAAAATTTATGCAATGGGGTGACCAAATATGTAGTTTACCTAGTAAATAAATGATGAAACTCGATAGATCAACCAAAAATGTGCCAAGAGGGGGTGAATTGGCTTTGTGAAATTTAGGGAGTAAGGAGTAAAAATGATAGACAATTTGCACAATGATTTATAATGGTTCAACTTCCTCAATGAAGTTTACATCCACTATCTAAGCTCCTTACTTAGGATTTTCCAACAAATCCACTAATTTGTTCTTCTTTTTCAAGGACAAAGAGATAACATTTACAAACTCCCTAGCTTTTTAAAGGCTTAGCTAGAACCAAAACCCCTTTACAAAGGTGAAAAGATGTAAACAAAAAAAAACCCTTACAAGGTAGGGTTTACACAATTTAGCACACTCAAAAACACTATTTACAAGAGAAAGAGAGATAAAATGAAAAGCTTTTCTCTTGATGATCAATGCTTGGATAGGTGTTATGTAACCTTCTTCAAGTGTCTTGAACTTGCTTTTATATGTTGGAATGAATTACTAGTCGTTTATAGAGTTTGGGAAGGTTTGGAGTCGTTGGAAGACTTTTGTTCAAAGTTTCGAAACTTTAGGGAAAGTTTGAAACTCTTGTAGCGTTTAAGAACTTTTGGTCAAATACTCATTTTAAGGTTTTGATTGGAGTTCGAATTATTTTGATGAAAACTTTGAATAAATTCGATTTAGTCCAAAACATTTTCCCTTATTTGTTATATCAAAATTAGTTCTACAATCTCCCCCTTTTGATGTAACAAACCATTGAAAAATAGTTTTGACAAAAGCTCCCCCTTTGAAAAATATTTAATGAAAAAGAGCATATTTGAAAAATATTAAAGCTCTCCCCTTTTTTATTCTTGAAATTGAATTTTTCAAACCAATATTCCCCCTTTTTGTTATATAAAAAATAATTCAAATTTCTATGATACTAAATAACAATGGAGAGTAAGTAGTAATTTAACATTAAAATCATTTGAAAAATCAAAAACTTCCCCTCAACAAATGCATTCTAAACAAAAATTTGACTTTAAAAGCTTAACACTTAAAAGACATTGAGTTTTAACAAAGATGAACAAACATGTTAGTAGCACATGAAATTCATATATATCCAAGTCTAATATACTTTATGCAATTATGATGTTGTATTTAAGTGCATGTGCATAAAGCTATCCAAACAAAAATGTATGCATTTGAAAATTGATATCAATTGTTAGAGAGATATCATTTGCAATAAATCACATGCATAAACATTTAAATTAAGGTCAAAAATTAAAATTGTAAAAGCAAGCATTAAAACTAATTTTGACCAAAATTCATTATGATGAATAAACATTTAGGAAAAATCATTAAAACTTTAGAAAATGTGCATCACAATTCTTTTTAACATACATGAGATAGAAAACATAAAATCATTTAAAATCAAAACTCATGCATGCATACAACAAATAGGTAACCAATTAATCAAAACAAAAGCATCAAGTGATAAGTTCTTCAATGATCGATGTCTTATTCAATTGTCAAGATTTTGGAAGATAATATATCATCTTCCTAACAAGCTTCTCATTAGGGGTGATCTTCCTATATCCCTTGAGACTGTTGACAATCATGGGAAATCTATTCGTCATAGCTTTGATGTCTTCATCTGATTTCATATTGAAATTCTCGTAGCTATGATTGAGAAGACCGATTTTTTTTCCTTCACTTCATTGGTTCATTCATAAGTGATTTGGAGCTTGTCGTAAACCTCCTTTTCATTAGAATAAGATGAGACTCTTCCATATTCATCCAGGCCTAATGCACGAAACAAAATGTGCATGGCCTTAACATTGAGTTGGAACTCTTTCTTCTCTCTTTCACTACATAGAGCTCCAAGCATATAGATCGGTAGCTTGAATGAAGAGCATCATCCTATTCTTCCAATAAGCATAATTTGCTCCATTGAAATATAGTGTCTTGTTAACGGTTGAGAATCTTTGATGTAGTAAGCGCCAGAGGAAAAAACCATCTTCTCGGTGCTTTAGGACCTTTAATTTGTGACCCACTCTGATACAAATTGTTGTGCTAGATGAAGCTCCATTGATCAACTGAAAATGTG